CACTTTGGAGCTGGATTAAACACTTTTATACCTTCCTCAGATTTCCTCAAATTACTGTTATCAAGTAGATTCCTAAATAACCCAAGGTAGAATCCAAGAATTTCTAAAAAGCTGAGCGAGGGAGTATAATGTGGATGATAAGCAGAAAGAGAAGGACGGAAGAATCATTTTCCTTTTAAGAGGAAGCATCATTCCTTGATTACAGAAGGTGCTGGGAGGTAGATGAAAAAGCAAGGTAAATATTTGTTCTGACCTGGTGAAAGACTGAAAGGTAACAGGGCTTTTATAGGTAGCCATGATATTTGCTGGTTCTTGATCTCCTAGTTCCAAAAAGAGATAGTTCTTAGTTTCCTGCTCCTAGCCACAAGATTATTGATTTCTATGAAAGATATGAGAAGACACTGGGAATGGAATGCAGGAGATTAGAAATGGAACCATCCAAAAGGATGAGCCATTTTAGAAAACTGATGAAACCAAAAGATTTTTATTATCCTGCTTCTTCTTATTCTGTCACCATGAACTTTTCCCCCGCTGTGAAGGAATCTATCTTCCCAAGTGGGAAAAAAATAATTTTTAAAAAGATAAGCCTGAAAAAATTAATTTAAACTTAGCCATATTAGGGTAGCATTAAGGCACTCCCGGGTACATTTTATTGGTCCATTAATATAGGGCCCGAGTGGTTGAATACACCTAAGGCATGTACTGTATTAATGAACCAATAAAACATGCCCTGAAGTGTCTTAATGATATATTACAACCATTTCTATTACATACATAAATGCACTATTTGCTGGCTGTCTTGCATAGTTTTAACGAAAATCTTCAATTAACCAAAAATATTGCATCAAGAACTCTTACCCACAATAAAAAAGAGCAACAGAGAATCCTGTAATTAACTAACCGGGCTACTTACTCATGAGGTGATTCTGGATTGATTTAATCTTTGGTGCTTTTTCACTGTAAATACTTTGGAAGAACTGGGTCTTTGGATTTAAAATTGGATACTTTCAGGAAAAGACACAGATGAAAGCTGACAGAATTCATACTGATCTCCTTTCTTACTTAAAATATCCAACTGTGGGTGGTGGTTATAACATTAAATAGGTATTAATGACTGGATTCAAATAGTAACTCTCTGTGCCTACATTAGAATGATATATTTTAGGCATGTGGGTACATTTTCTACAGTGATAAAGAATGCCACTCATTCATGTATGCAAGGGTTGAGACCAACACGTGGGATCTTGTAAAAATGTCTTCTCCTAATCAACATTGTGTTCCACTCTTATTTATAAACTCAGTGTTGACCCTGCTGTCTTTTCACTGGAGTCATATAAATTGATGCATTACTATGAGTAGAAGCTGGAGGACCGCATGGAGAGAGGAGAGATAATGATGATAATAGATATCATTTATTGAATGATTATTATACATCATACGATGCTCTAATTATTTTTACATGTATTATCTCCTTTAATCTTTGCAACAACCCTATGAGGAAGATATTATTATACTTGTTTTATAGATGAAGTATCCAAGATAAAATTAGAAACTTTTCCAAAGTGGTGGGCTTTGGGATTGAATGCACCCTCTGAATCCAAAGCCCATACTCAAGTGGGTAAAGCTTGGGATGGCCAGTATGAGAAAAGCAGAGAGAATTATTAGGTTTATCCTCTATATAGGGAAGAAATCCTTTCTAAACTCTATCTACCAACATATAGCATTGTACATTTTATTCTTCCCCTCCACTTCCTCCTTACAGAGGAACATAAATAGAGGAGAGAGAGAGAGAGTGGACATGAAGGGGCCTCATAGCAGAGTCTTAAAAGATGCAAAGTGACTTCCATGAAGCAATGATCTAAGACCCAATGAGAATGGGCACATGGTGATATGGTTAGATACCAACGGCCAGAAACAGGTAAAATGTAAATGCCTTATCATCTGATCATAGGGAGAGAAGATGACATTCTCCCATCACTGAGGATGGCACCTCAGTGGCACCAAGTGCACTCCTTGAAACTAAGGTGACAGCCCTTGCATAATGAGTGAGTAGAGAGTATCGTCAAGCTAGTCACAGACTGAGGAAATACTGCACTAACTGATTAACCCGAAATTTGACTACTGAATAGAATGGGGGCTCAAGACAGAAATGAATTGTAAAAAAGATAAGGTAAAAATTATTTGTATGCACCTTTGAAAGCTGAGATTTATGTACTGAGTTGTTTTATTCATAAACTTTTTAATTGTTACAGATTTGCATCCTAAGAGAACCTGACCATGAAATGTTTATGAAGGCTATTGAAGTGACAGCAGTTATTGTTGGTTTTAGGGCCATAAGTTAGGTGTCAAATCATCAAAAAACTGGCCTTTTTGAGGAATTGCATTTTTTTTCGATTTCTTCTTCAAGATCTATAACACAGTAGGAAATTCATTATTTTGTAAACTTATTCTGTACCAGTTTCTTCAGCTGAATTTTACAAGCCTGGAAAACAGTTGGTGAAAGATCTTTGCTGCCTCCACTCGATTTTTACTCATGGCTTATATAGGTTTATATTTGCCTTGCACATTTGGTAGTCAATGATACAATTCACTTTGGCTTTATTTACTGAAGGGCTTGGCCCTGATGTTGAAAGTCATACTGCAATATTGTTTACTCAACCTTTAGAAGGCAGGAAAATTGTTAAACATAAGCTCTAGCACATTTTAAAAATTGTGGAAAAACACAATTTTACTACAATATCTTTAAAAATCCCACATATACTATTTATAAATAACTTTCCTTTTTTATTTCAGTTTTTTTTTTAAGACCATTAGGTTGGTGTTATTTATAGCGAAGTGGTAATTTAATACTAGATAGTAAATTCATTATGTGATTTCAGTGGGCGGATAACTACGTCATGCAATTTCACTGTATCTCTTAAGTGATCATCTGCTGGCTTATGTGCAATGTAGGAACCAGGTCATCAGCTCTTCTATAAAGCTGACCAAGTGAGTCATCCCAATGTGATGTAAATAAATATATATAAATAAACCAGCACCAACATGTGAGGGGTACTAGTGATGTCTGGACATTTGCAGTGAGTAATTTAGTGGACATATGATTCTACTGCTCTTTTAAAAAATTTAATGCTGGTTTTGCTGATGAAGGCATCTTTGCTGACTATAATAACAGCAACCTAAATGTGTATAGTGCTTTACCATCATTCTTAGCAAACTGTCACAAGAACAGAAAACCAAACACCGCATGTTCTCACTCATGGGTGGGAACTGAACAATGAGATCACTTGGACTCAGGAAGGGGAACATCACACACCGGGGCCTATCATGGGGAGGGGGGAGGGGGGACGGATTGCATGGGAGTTATACCTGATGTAAATGACGAGTTGATGGGTGCAGCACACCAACATGGCAAACAAGTATACATATGTAACAAACCTGCACGTTATGGCACATGTACCCTACAACTTAAAGTATAATAATAATAAATAAATTTAAAATAATAAAGATAATTAAAATTATTACATATTTATCATGCAAAAAAAAAATTTTTTTTGAAGCACTTTCGCAGGTGATATTATCACGTGGAATACTTCCCCAGAATCCTATGACACAATTGTGAACCATATTGTCCTCATTTTCAGATGAGGAATTGTTACTTAGAGAGTTTAAGTGTTTCTCTTGAACTAGTTGACCTGCTAAATGGCACAGTGGATTAGAACCAGGTCTTCTTGGAATCATGTTCTTCCTTTCCCCATAAGACTTGAGCATCAACAGGTCCAGGCACTAAAGCTAAATAAAACTGAATGATATTAAACTGACAATATTCTACTCTTTCTAGCCAATTACAGTTTCATATGACTCAACCTGATCGTAAACTAGAGGCTTTGGGTGTCCTTGGTCAGAAAATCTGAGAATTTAGTTGAAGTAAATGAAGGAAGACCAGGCAGGCAGGGACTATGGCCATGGATCTAGAGTCCAAGGTGGATGTACGTGGATACTGACAGGACAACAGAGAAAGTGAGAGCTGTTTAAAATGTGAGCCACATCTGTGTTTTAGGAATAAATATTTGCTTTTCATTTTGCATAGCACCGTGGGATAAACTCAAAATGCTTCTGAGTGAATGACTTTTATAGATTAGAGATTTAACTGAATCTAAAAGCAAAATAGATCTATGATTTGAAGATCAGATGAGATTTTTAGCCTGATTTATTTAGAAAATTTTGTACGTTTGGGACTCTTGTCTAGTAAATTTTGACTGTACCTTCATCAAATAAAATAGTGTAATATAGGTGTCGATTCACATCAACAAAAGTAGGAGGCTGTCATGAGACACAAGGAAAAACATGGTCGTCATGTCGAAAGGCTTTGGTTTAACACTAGATTATCCTGCATGCTTTGGACAAGTAATTGAACCCCACGCAGATTAATTTTCCTAATTAAAAAATGGTGATAGCAATACCTACCTCATAGAGATGTTGTGATGATTAACCTATGCATTACTGGAGTTAGTAACCGTGGATGGATTTTAGGACATCAATGAACCCTCCAACATTGCATGCACAAAATTCTGGTGAGATTGTTCATTATTGTCATCAGATCCTTAAAAGTCTCCACAAATTGCAAAAGGCTAAGAACTACCAACGTATATGAAAAGGATATGAAATTGTGAAATGCTACATAAATGTTAGAAATCAAGGATAAAGAAGCACTATCCAGGAAAGGAAAACAAAACAGTAATTTTTAGGGTGGTAGAATGTTTATCTATCTCCAAGAAACTTGGATTGGACTTTTAGGAGATAATTTGATAAGTCAAACGTACATAAAACATGAATTACCTCTAATGGCAAAATCACTTTTATTTGTAGTAATTTTAAATATAGGCTGGTTAAACTGTGCTTTTAAACATATTTCATAGATGATAATCTGTAATTTACTAGTTTCTCTCTCTTTTTGAAATTTTAATGTATGTATTTGAGATCCTTTTATGATTTTTTTTTAGGTGATGTCATTGAACTCTTAAGTGCAAGATGAAACAAGTCTTCCTAGCGTTCCAAGTAGGTAAGTAATCTGCTCATTTCTTAACTAGCTAAATGAATTGCTTTATTAAGATACTGAAGGTATGTCAGGCCTATCAATATCCAGTATCTGGAATCACTAATCAACTGTCTATGAACATTATTTTTATGAAGATTTTTTCTTTTGGCACACTAAACAAAAATAAACTCAACCTGGGGGAAGATGTGTGGAGGTAATGTGAGGAGGAAGGAATAATATCAAAGACCTTGCTTTCTCAAAGTTCCCTAAAGTGTGAAAGAATCAGTACTGCAGTGTTAAAATAGGCTGGAATTGGACAGAGGAGCAACAAATTGTAATTTAGGAATGCCACTGCTTTCTCAGACCGAAAGGCATTGTTGTCTGGGGGAAAGAGTTCTATTGTATAAACACTGTTGAGAGGATACTGGAATTTAGATCTCCAGCCTCTTCCTTGATTTTGGCAAGGTTGAATGTAGAGGAAACCACAGTCGTTCGGGAAGAACGCTATGTGAACAATGTCATGTTTTATTGGTAGAATGAGTAAACCAGACAGTACAGGCTGTAAAAACCTATCAATTGGTGTTATGGCAGGAAACAGATGGCTCATTCCCACAGAGTAATTCAAAGAATATCCAATAAAGGGGCTACTTGCAAAGGTGTAGATAGGAAATAGGGGAACCATGGGATAGAGTGTATCCGAGACTAGTAACACAGGGTCTATTTCCAACCCTAGGCTTGAAGGGGTGAGTTAGTTGGAAAGAGAGGCTCCTATGCAGGGGCCACCTTGAGAAGAGCCGTGGTTGTCATGTAGAAAATGGGAACTTGTGAGCTAAGGGAATATGAATACGCTTTCCTCATTCACCTGCTTCCCTCTGATCTTCTGCCAGATCTCTCTAATAATAGAATCCAATCTGGAGCCAGAGGGCAAGAAATCTAATTGACTGACTCTTTAGTCTGGCCTTCTGCAGCCAGCTAGGGTGAAGAGTGTGATCTGGAGAAACAAACAACTCCCCAAATTTGGTGGCTTACAGTCCCAAAGGCCTACTTCTCACTCATGCTAAATTCCGGCATGGATCAGTAGCGAGTGTTTCCACGTGTCCTCACTGTAGAACCTCAGAAATGGAGCAGACATTTCTTCAGAATATAACCAATTGTTTTGAATAGAATTTGGGATAGTCTCAAGTCAGTAATTATATATTTTGGTCTTAAATAATTTATGTCATTTGTACTTACCCAGAACTAGTTTAGGGTCCTATGCAAGCTTCAAGGAGCCAGAAAGTTGAATTCTACCAGGTGCCTGAATGAGAAGGGGAGGTGATAAAACTGAGCAGTGTGAATAACCACCACGGGTAACTTTTCTGTTCAAAGCATGCTGGTCCGTAAGTTAAATTAAAGCTGGGATATGGATTGGCAGAATAATTCAGGCAGAATTTAGTTTACAAACAACTTCTGAACGACTTGCATGATATTCAACAGAGCCTATATGTAGATTATACAAAAGCTTTTTTATTTTTATTTTTTTAGACAGAGCCTTAATCTGTCACTCAGGCTGGAGTGCAGTGGCACGATCTCAGCTCACTGCAATCTCTGCCTCCTGGGTTCAAGCAATTCTCATGCCTCAGCCTCCCAAGTAGCTGGGATTACAGATGCCTGCCACCGTGCCCGCTAATTCTTGTATTTTTAGTAGAGACAGGGTTTCACCATGTTGGCCAGGCGGGTCTCAAACTCCTGACATCAGGTGATCTGCCTGCCTTGACCTCCCAAAGTGCTAGGATTACAAGCGTGAACCACCATGCTCGACTTGTACCAGAACTTTAAAAAAGCCAAATCCATATAGCTGATCAGAATGAAACCATAGAAGAATTTTTGAACTTTGTTAGGATCAAAATATTAATACTTACATTAAAAAAAAGCTTTTTTTAAGTGCATGGTCTGGTACTAAGCCTTTAGTCAAGGAAATTTAAACAAAATTAGGCTTGCCCTCTAGGAGTTTGCAATCTAAAACAGACAATATTGATCTAAAGACATGCAATCAGTTCACCATTATTCACAGGAACATTATCTGCTCTTAAATTGATCTATGGCAATTTTTAGAATGATTAAATTATGTATTACTCAGTCTACAACTTGAGTATATTCTTTTTCCTCCAGTAGTATTACTATTTTTAAATGGACTATAAAGAAACATTATGAATATCTAGCACCTTTGGAAATGCATGTAATTTATGCAGAAGTGGGATAATGTCACATACTGTAGGTGCAAATTTAGAATTGATTGCACTGTAGGGAGATGGCAACCTCATCTATGCTTAGAAGAAAGTTGTTTTGTTATAAGCTGTTTTGGAAGTCGAATATTGGATTTTATTCTGGATATATAGCATGCCATTAGTTTGTTAATATCTTAATAGTGAGAAAATTTTCATCTAAATACTGAAAGTCAAAAAGTGTTGGGAATAAATCCTAAATATTAACTGATAATGTTTCCTGAATACCCTGAGGAATGCTGATGGGACAGAAGTTTCAGATATTTTAAGTTCAGCAGCTTCTACCTATGAATGCTTTATCTGACAAATTGCATAGTGGATAGAGCACATGCTGCCCACATCACCTGCGTCCTTACCATTTTCGTACAATCTGGTTTGACTTCCAATTGCTGGTGACTGTGTCTCTGGCCAGTGGGGCCTGCAGCAGTCTGGGAGTACTGGAGGAAAGACTGCCATCAAGGAGCAGCCCTCAATTACAGACACAGAAGAGTAGGTCTGTGGGTCCCAGTGGATGAACGAACACGGAGGAGCACCACGTTGAGCGTCCATCTTACAGTTTCCCAGGGGCACAAAGTTATAGTCACCTGAGGGGCAACTTGCTTGACAAAGTAGCTTTTCTTGACTTCCTTCCCAGCTTTACCTCACTCCTCCACTTTCTAACCAGTGTTTCTTGGGATCAGTTTCCAAACAAACTACATGAATTCAAATATTTGTCTTCGAGTATGCTGTTGAGGAAGTAAAACTAACATAGTGGGCTATTTCCCTAGCAGGCCTCCTTTTTCTTATACTATATTGTGGGACTTGAAAAAATATATAATTCAGAGGTAGTGGCAGCACAAAGTTCCTTGGGTAAGTACTTTTGGTAGATAAAGATGAAATAGGTGTAGACAAGCAAGGTTGCCTAGAGCAGTTTAATGGAGACTTTGATTACAAAAGCTTATACTAAAGATAATGTGAAAATACTATAGAATCTTGTCTCAGAAATTCCTGATATTAGACATAACTTAAAGCATTAAAAAGTAAAACTGTTGAGTGTCTGTTGGAAGTAAGCTAAAGATAAAATATATTTAGGAGTTATCCATAATATTTGCATGTGTGTATATATGTGTGTATATATATATATAATATTTTTGCAAAATATTTCATATTTTACTATAACCTGTTAATATGCAAAGTTACCAATTATTTATTAGATTACTAGATTAATTGCGAAATTCCTAACTTCTCTACTCCAGCCACATGCATGGTGGCACCAGGACAGGATAACTGGAATAAATACTCAGGCAGAAAACAGAAAATTGCAATGTATGCAGTAGTCACTAGTCCATGGTAATGATGAAATCCTGTGGACAGCTGTTATGTAGTCTTGACAGTGAGAGAAGTGCCATGGCCAGGACTTGATTCTGTTCTCAGGGAGGAATTTTCCCATCCATTGTTTTGGGGGACTCCTGCTTCTGCCATCTGGGAAGCTTTGCTTGTCTATTATCTGCTGTGGCCGCAATGGCAGTTGAGGGCCCTGGAGGTTTTGCTGCTTGCCTCCTGCCTGTATGAGCTGGGTGGCCTAAGAGTTGCTTCAAGGCTCAGCCGAAGGCTTTTACGTCCTAGCTCATGGTTGTTTTTGCAATATAATTTTCTTTAAAATTAATAAGACTTTCATCTCTTCCAGGCACATGAAGACAAATGTTGCATGTTCTCACTTATATGTAGGAGCTAAAACAAATTGATCTCGTGGAGGTAGTGAATAGAATGGTGGCTACCAGAGGCTGGGAAGGGTAGTGGGGGTAAGGGGATAAAGTTACAAAATACAGTTAGATAGAAGCAATAAGATCTACTGTTTGGTAGCACAATAGGGCTACTATAGTTAAAGATAATTTATGACACATTTCAGAATAACTAGAAGAATAAATGTGGGATGCTTTCAGCACAAAGAAATGACAAATGTTTGTAGTAATTGGTGATGAATACCCCCAATTACCATTATGCATTGATCATTATACATTGTATGCTTGTATCAAAATATCACATGTACCCCATAAATGTGTAGCTATTATGTATCCATAAACATTAAAAAATTAAAAATAGAAAGCAACTGATAGACTTTTGTCTCTTTGCTTACAATCAGTTCAGTATGCCAGCTACCATACCCACAATTCTTTCTTAGACATAATTCTTAAAGTAGTATTATTTGTTTTTCTTCTCATCACCATTTATTTCTTTCTCAACTCAATGACATCTACCCCAAGGCCATGAGACTTGGGATGAAGGCCTGGTTCAATCTGAATTTCATCACGTAATTATATCTTAAGACTGTTCATTATTCAATTTCAAAAATTATGTATTAATGTTTGAGGTAAACATTCCCAACTTTTGAGGCTTAAAATTTCTGGATGTTTTCTTATTCCCTTCCATTTTTATGTGTACTTTGGATAATTCTTTCCTGTGGTCATTTCTTCTTATAATATCTTGCCAAATAAAGCTAGTAACATCTAATGCATGCTCACATAATTCTATTTTACAATATCTTTTGCTACAGCCACAGGCTGGGGAGGTTAGTGGCCTGCCTCCAAAGATATCGTGGGCATCATTGTTACTGAACATCTTGCCTCTGCTTAACTTGGGGTTTCGTTTTTCCAGCCTCTGATATTAGTTTCCTAGTTATGTTCTGCCAGTGCCACCAATTTTAGGGTTTTTGTTTTTATTAGTGTACATTCTTGATACTAATTTCTATTTTACTTAAGATAACACCAATTAAAGCATCAG